TAATTGCCGACAACATCTTCCTTCAAGTTACTCAGTGACAGAGAGAGGCATTTTGTGCACCACAATATTTCATTTCAATGTCGCAAATTAGGTTCGAGATTACTGAACCTCACAACAGCAGCTACAGAAGAACACAGCTGTAGACAGAGCATGAACAGAATTTCAACAGAATATGAGCAAAGAACTGCACTCCGTGGGCTGAAAATGTGCAGCTGTAGCTCTGCTGCTCTACTCTGTGCAGCCTCACTTGGCCTCCATGGCAGTAATGTCATCAGGCCACGGCCTCGGCTCTGAGTTTCTTCAAGGCACAGTCTCTTTCCTCCAGGGTAAAGACTCTCTCAGATCACACATCAAAGGCAGCCCGTCTCCAGCTCTGTGGATTTCCTCTGCGCTGCAGACTGAGTGAATTTTTCACGGGTTTCCTTCCCTCTGTCTCCCTGACTCACTCTCTCTCTCTCTCTCTCTCTCTCTCTCTCTCTTTCACCCTCCCCACCTTCCGAGTCAGAACACACTTCACACATGAACTATCCATGCACACCAAAGCAACACAAACTGACACGATCCAAGTGGCAAAGTGGCACAACCAGTACAACTGAAGGGGAATTCCACCATATTTTCAAAATTTCTGAATAATTCAGTCCTTGAGATGTAAACAGAGTCATTCAGAGTGTTTGGCATGAAATGGTTCATTGTAGACAAACTTACAGACTCTTAAGAGATTTCTTTACAATGGTGGTAATAGGAACCCGGGGTTGCCATGTCTACAACATAAATATAGCCATTTTATTTACTATCCAAAACCACCAGTGAACCTTCATGTGCCTCCTGAGTTTTTATATAGAGTGTGGATGATGATAAAATAGTGAAAAAATTTTAAAAAATGAATTTTCTTTGGGGACTATTTTGCCTTACAACGTCCTGCATACCCCTCCACCATGCATGGATTAAAATAAATGGATTAAAATACATTTTAAGCAAAAACGTTATCATAAAACTATCATAAAACAATGTGTCAGACATCAGGCGGTGCATTCATAACCATTTCATGTAATAATTTCCATTGAGGGAGCTTTTAGAGGTGGCGTCTGGTTCCTATCACCAACACTGTGAACAGAGCATTTTGCACCAAACCACTCTGAATGACTCTGTTTACATTTCAATCATCTAATTATGTAGAACTTTTGAAAAATTGGTGGAGTGTCCCTTTACATGAGGTCATGTAAAAGAAATATACACAAAGAGTCTTAAAGAGACATAAAGAAATTAACTTATTTTGAATAAAGAAATGTTTATGGATACCCGCCAAAATAATCCCACATTAAAACAGAAGTAATTCTGTTGTAAAGGTGTCAGGGTCAAAATGGGCCAAGCACACTTAAGACTCACTGCTATTCTCAGCAGCCCTGTGACAGTCATGACATTTCAAAAGGCCATTAACTGCCATACAAATAACTGCGATGAATAATTAGTCTTTTTTGTTTTGCATTTTTTCTACTGTACTACTATTGTGTTGTAGATTGTACTGTAATTGAACTGTATTTGTATTGTAATAGTTGCATTGTATGCAACTATTAAAGTACAAGCCTAAAGCAAACTGGCTCATTAGCTGTCTTGCTTCCTAGCCTCTGATACTCAGTTTTCTTCCAACCGATGAAAGAGCTCAAATAAACAAACATTAATGAAATTTAGGGGTGGGCAATATGATGATATTTATCATTATCGATATAAATGACATTATATTATGATTCCCTGAGCATATTGTGGACATTGTTAGAACACTGACCACCTGTATGTTTCTATAGAAAGGAGAATAAATAGTCCTGTTTAAAGAACAGTGTGCAAAACATTAAATAAAAAATCACTGTACTCATAATTTTTAGACAGTATTTTTGAATGGTTCTTTTTCAGTTCTAACTTATCAAACCTTAGGAAAAAAGTATCATGATGCATATCGTGCACTGAGAAAATGTACTGAGAAAAGTATTGTTATATTATTTTATAATATATTATAATATATTGTAATATATAACACATCATTAGGTTATATTTTTGCCATATCACCCACCTGAAATTTAAAAATCATTACAAAACTATAACTCAATCACTCAAATGGAATTTTACTGCAAAAAAAACAAAAAAACAGGCTTGTGCCGCATCCAGCACACTTCATACATCATCTCTGATACACACTGGCCAGCTAGATGCTGTTGGGATGTTTTAAGTGGCATGTGTGAATGTCAACAATATATTTTCTCCTATGAAAATTATGAAACCGATTATTTATTGGACATTTGATACTGGTGCCAACAACTGTTATTAAAGTATCCATGCAGATAAAATAGGAATTGAACCTGATATACGCATTTACTAAAAGAGGAACATTTCAAACTATAGATATACTACACTAGCACACAGCTGCTGAACAAGAGTAAAAAGTGTGACTTTGCAAAATTACTGCATAATTTAATCATTAAGAAGTGAGCAAAGTCATTCAGAGTGGTTTGGTGTGAAATGCTCCGTTCTAGAGAAACTTACTGTGTCAGAACTGTTCACAGTGGTGGTGATAGGAACCAGACGTCCACCTCTAAAAGCTCCCTAACACAAAGTTATGCTGTGAAATGGTTATGAATGCACTTCCTGATGTCTGAGACATTGTTTTATTATAGTTTTGAGAAAGCGTTCTGGCCTAAAATGTACTTTCCATAAATCCTTTCATGGTTAAGAGGCACATGCAGGGTGCACACAAGGCAAAATAATCTTCATTTTTGTTTTGTCACTCATGTTGTTTTTATCACTATTTTAGCATCACCAGCATTCCATATAAAAGCCCAGAAGACACGTGTAGGTCCACTGGCGGTTTTGGATAGTAAATAAACTGGCAATATTTGTGTTGTACACATGGCGACTCCTGGTTCCATCAGCACCACTGTAAAGAAATCTGAGACTCTATGATGAACCATTTCATGTTGAATTATACACATTCTTTTCCCTTTTAACCGTCCAATACTCATAATATCATAGAGATCCAGCACTTACAAACCTACCAAACAATATGAAGACTGCAAATTCCAGAATTAATTCTGGATTAAAAGGTAAGGAAGGTGTGGTTCTGATCAAGACATGAATAAAAATGTGTTTGAATACTGAATTTATCTGTTGAAATATAACAAGAAACAGCATTAGAGCTGCACAAAATCCAAGCTTAGCAGTTATATTGCTATAATGACACATCTTGTAATATATTACAATATTTATTAATAACGTGACACATCCGCCCACAAGACCAATCATCTGGAACTGTGATTGGTCAGGATGCTGACAGCACACAGTAAAAAGCACAGTAATTGTTCAGAAGGCTTATTTGCATAGTGAAGCATTGGGCAATATCAGTTTTGCAAAGGCCAATACTGCGATAATGGTCAACAAATAATATGGGCTATTGTGCAGTCCTGCTATTACAGCCCTGCTGTTGGAATATGTACAAAAATACTGAAAAACTGCAAAGAGAACACATAAGCTGCTATAATACACCACTGCAAGAAGCACACAAAGCACTTGCCGGCGGGTTCACGCCTATTCCAAACATCTGCGTGCATGTTCCAAAAACATGCAGCATAGTCTGAATTTCATCCATGCACCTGCTCCTTGATGTATTCACTCTGGCAGGTCCGACAGGCCAGTTTCACTGATGATTAGTTCCATATAACATTGACCAAAAGCGTGAAATTGGACCTACATACGTGGCATAGCATGTAGTTATTACACACTGCCTGACCTTTTCCTCTAAATGAATGACAGATGCTGAAATTTCTGCATCTGAAATATCACAGATAAGGAAGCTCTGTGGGCATCACACTGGAAAAAATCTGCATTGACCCCCAAGTGCATCATTACTCTGCCTGCATTTCTCTCTCTTAAGGCACCGGTTCTTTGCTACTCACAGTTACCAAATTACCATCATCACAAACAATGTGCTGCTCAATAAGAACGACAGGTGAGCAATATGGCAAAAACATACATCACGATACTTCTCGATATGCAATATGCATCAAGATATGACTAAAAACTATAACTACAGTGGTTTTCATTCAGCGCTTTACATTCTGTACCACCTTAAATACAGTGAAACAGGCCTAATTGTGCTCTCTTTGCAATGAAACATGCGGCTGTTCAGCATTTTCTCAGTACTGATGATACCCACAATAAAATGCTTGTGCTGAGAAAAGCATTTTGGGACAATGTGATGCAATTTACCACAATAAGGAGAAATATCAGCGCACTGACCACCCTAATAAGAACAGACGGACTATTTTCACATTTTTTTGCATCAATTTTCTGAAGAGCATCTAGGACACAATAAACCTGAAATGTATTTGAACCAGTGGGTCGCAGCTGGTTTATTTATGTTAATCGAAGTGAAGGATTATGGGGGAAATAAATTACGTTTTTTAATACAAATAAATAAATAAATAAATAAGAACAACCAGCATTACAATAAATTGCTTGCTTATTTTAAAAATACCAACAAAATAAAAAATAGTACACAAAAAAGCTGCCCTACAAAAATGTATTAAAAAAAAAAAATCCGAAAACAAAAACAACTGGCCCTAAAATAAGTAAATAATACATTTTGAAAAAGAAAGAAAGAAAGACAGAAAGAAAGAAAGAAACTTACCCCAAATAAATAAATAAATAAATAAATAAAAACAGCTACTGTAATTCTGTGCTAAAGGTATCAGGGTCAAACTGGGTCAAGTACTCTAAATACTCACTCACTACACTCAACAGTCCTCAGTCTTACACTCAGATTTGTGGGTCTCAGCGTTAAAACACTCCGTATTAAGACTCTTTATATCACTAAAGAACCGAACAGCCTCCGTCCTCCCGTGTTGTTCTACCTTCAGCTTCACATGGGCGGTGAAAGCGTGACTTGTTTTCACGCCTCCCTTCAAACACTGACGCAGCAGAAAGGCAAGAAAACGCGGCTCCTCTTTACTCACCAAGAAAAAAAGAGAGAGAAGCCTCGCTCCTCCGCTCCTGTCACACCTCCCCGGCAGTTCCCTTTCTCCTTCTTTCTCCTTCTCCGGCGGCGTGTGGAGGCTAAACATCCATCTGTGCGCTTTTCTCCTCAGACTTCTCTCTCCGAGTGTGTCTGAGCTCTGACCCACTCCTGCACCTTTACTGCTCTCGGCTCCGGCAGCGATCAGTGAGATCAGTGTTTTTGCCCACCCGTATTCAGACAAGCCCCGCCCTCCAGCGCTGTGATTGGCTGGCAGTTCGTCCACACACGCTCGAGCCTTCATCTCTCTCGGTATTTTTTATATAAAAATATAATCTGAAAAATACATATATCTGTTGAAATATACATTTAAAACACATAATGCTTTAATATTTCATTTTTAAAATGAAAAATTAAGTCACTTATGCTCATTAAATTAAATGGCAGATTTAAATAAGTTCTACATGATTTAAATCTCATGTATATGTACTTAAAGGGGAAATCCACCGAATTTTCTAAATTTCTGCACAAATAGATGATTAAGATGCAAATCCTTTTAGACATTGTTTAAAGATAAGATAAGATAGGGTAAGATATGATAAGATAAGATAATCCTTACATTATTATTCCCACAACAGGAGAAATTCACAGAGCTACAGCAGCAAATGGACAGCAAGGCACTCAAGAGAAAGAGTAACAAGAAAAGAATCAGCAAACAAGGTATCAACCTTGTTAATTACTTAACAAGGTTACAGTTTGTTGATTAGTACCATGTATACACTACATATATATATTAAAGATAAAAATATACATTAAAGATAAAAAATAAACTGTATGTTTCACAAAAATTAAGAATATAAACATTATAAATAAAAAAAGCAAAAGAATCTACACTATAAGGATATTTTACACATATTACACATGAAATATTGCACATTTACGGTAGTTTTGAGACGGTTTTGCCTAAAACATATTTTTAGTCCATTTACAGCGGAGACATACACACAAGGGAAAACAGTATCTAAAGAAAACTTTTTTTCATGTTTTTCCACTATTTTACCATCATCAACATTACACATAAAAACTCACTGGTGGTTTTGGATAGTAAATAAAATGGCTATATTTGTGTTGTAGACATGGCGACCCCTGGTTCCTATCAGCACCACTGTAAATAAGTCAGTAAGAATCTCTACAATGAACCATTTTACCTCAAACCACTTGGAATGGTGTCATTTACATTCTGAAAAATCAGTGGGATTCCCTTTTAAGTGTAGTGAATAGGTTAGCGAGTTTAGTTTCATTCTGTCATGTTGGTTCAGCTCCTGTTCTGCTCTACTGTTGCCCACACCTCTCACTTTGGAGCATTCACATTTTATTTTAGAACAAAACTCTCCAAAAAGTAAAAAATAGAGACAAACAAACTTCACTTTAATTCTGCAGGGAGCTGAGGTATAACTCATGTCTGTTGGATTTTCTACTCAGGGTTTTAGTAGCTGCTTTTACTTCAACATGAGTCATTATGTCATCTCAAGTGAGAAGATTTCAACATAAGGATGGTTTTATGTTACTCAGCCAACTTCTTCTAGTGCGTTGGGTTTGTGTGGGTAATTCATCAGGCCATTAGTGTCATGATTTAAGACCATCTCATCGACAAGACCAAGCAGAGCTTCACTGAGAAACTGAGCCCCAGCTTTTATTAGCGTCTAAATAACTGCAGGGAAAATGAACATTTCAGAGGGAAACGCACTCTATACTCCTGGCCTCTGACTTTCTTCTGAACTGGATCATGCAAACACTACAAAGTAGTAAATGGAGTGAGGGGTGCTTTGGGGTTCCTACTAAAAGAATGTAAATGGAGTTTAACTTCTATAAGGAAAAGCTCCTGATTCACACACAAGGTTTGGGCCTTGGGGAGCCAGTGTGCAAGGCTGGCGGTGGGCCGAGGACCAAAAACACAACAAACAAACAAACAGACAAATATGGTAGGAAGGTTTCAAATCAAGTTATTATACTATATACTATATTTTATTGCTAAAATGCTTCAGTAATACAATTTTCATGTGCAAAAGTCAGAGCTCACCCTTCATTGCTCAAAATGGGCATTAAGTATGAATGATTCATTTTTCAGTTCCAGGAAAAAAGCAGAAAACACACATATACTCAACCCAGACACACCTCCAAAGTTCAGTCTTAGAAGTTGGTTTAGCATTTTCTGCTTCTCACCAACCAAATAATCCCAAACACATTCAGTTATGGTTGAGGTCTGAACTCTGGGGTGGTCAGTCCATTGTTCTGAAAACACCAGCAGCTTCTTTGTTTGATGTGTCTGTTTCATTTTCTCAGTAAGAGCTTCTTGAACAGCTACACATCCTTTCAGACCCATAGTGCTGAGTTGTCTTCTCACAGTGGAAGGATGGACAAAAACACCTGTGGATGTTTTCAGATCTGAAGCAGCTTGATTTTCTCCTCTCTCTCAAAGATGAAAGCTTTAAGTGCTGTTTATCTGATGGGGGCAGTTTTGGTGTCTACCAGGTCTTTCAGGTGGTTGTTAGGAGTCCCTTTTTCTCTGTAGCTTTTAATAATTTTTTTGAATTCCAGTTTTGAAAACTAATTTTTTTTTTCTCACATTTTCACTTTCTTCTTCCTTATGCAAGTGGACCACACTGCCACACTTTGGGCAGCAGTGCACTAGAGTGCCCCCCTGATCATGACCAGCAGAGGGCCACAGAATGTGATAGACACTCAACCTACAACAGAGCAACCAAAACTTGAAGACTTCAGTTGAAACTGTCAGTTACGCGAAACAAAAATGAACTGTAGTGTCTTTAAAATGCACATATAAGAAAAAAAGAAGCACTTTGTAAGTTTTAATGTCAGAATGAAGGTGGGTTCATACCAATGTGAGTCAATTACAAGCTTCAAAAAGTACAAAGCTGTCGGTATAGAGTCCCATATCGTTCCTTAGGACGGGCTGACAGTTGGTTGCTTAAAGTAATAGTAATAAATCACTATTATGCAAATCTCATCTATATTTTATTTGCTCTATCGCAGTTTATTTGACCTCTTATACAGCACTTTAGCCAAGCAAAATAAATTTTCTAAATAAACTTTGCCTTGTCTAAGAGTCCCATTGAAACTCAAGGCCTGATGAACAACACACATACACTGAATACATGTTCTGTCATTTGCACAGAAAGAAAAAAGGAATTAGGGACTAATTTTTAAGGCCTTAAATGGAGCACAAAATAGTAGATTTGTTTCCTCATTGTTATACATTCATATATAAGTGAAATAATTATTCACAACAGCAAAGTACAAATCCATCAGCTCGTACTTAAAGGCACATTCCAGCCAAAATATAATCTTTAACCATTGATGCATCTGTTGTAAACATGCCTTCTTGCCTCTTACCAGAGAGCCTAGACTCTGGAGCGAGGGGCTCTGATTTAAAGACTAGGTAACCTCCCTCCTGATGATGCGTCTAGAAGGTGGAAGTAAGTTTTTATCTTTTATCTAAGTAAGTATCTTTGTAGTTGATACTTGGGGGTCAGGGAGGTCAGTGTTATATCATGCTAGATGGCATCACAGATGTATTTCTTAGCCTCTAGATCAGTGGCTAGCATAGTGCATGCTGGGTATTATAGTGAGAGAACACTGATGAACAACAATGACACAAAAACATGAATTCTGCCAAACTGATGTGGCTGAAGATGCACGCCGCACTACAGAATACTGTATAACATGACAAATATCATATTAATGCTAGTTCAGGCAGGAATGGCCCTTTAAGTACACTGAATTGAGTAAATGTGACTAATTCCCACCTTTACTTTCAAGATAATCTGTCATTTTCATTTAATGAGCAGACATAATTGATGATCTCAAGAAAACAGACATTTAAAGCATTGAGGCTTTCGAATAAATCGTTCAACGGGCACTTGAAGCAATGAGGGTTTACATTAAAAGCAAAAATGTCAGGAATGCTCTTTGAACCAACATCACCTGCACATCTTCAGCTCCAAGGAACAGCGTCCTATGGGTTTTTTTGATAGACTCTGGATGTGCAATGAAGCTGTTTGTCCCAACTTTGCTGCAGTAACAGCCTCTTCTAGGAAGGTTTTACACTAAATGTTGGAACCTTGTTGTGAGGATTTAATTGCATTCAGCCACAAGAGCATTAGTGAGGTCAGGTTCTGGATTACTCCATCTTATCCCAAAGGTATTGATTTGAGCTCTGCCACTTTAGAGAAAGCAGTTTCTTATGTGTGGCTGCTTCAGAGTGTAGCATTCTATTGGCAATGCTTTTCTATGGAGATTATACAGGTGAGTGTCCACCTGTGTCTGCAGTGGGTGCACCTTAAAGGAGCTGTGTTCTGGTCTGATGAGGCAGCATTTTATGGAAATAATGGATGTGTTTTTCAAGCCAAAGAAGAAAAGGATCATCAGGACTGTTACCAGCATAAAGTTCAAAAAGCCAAAATCTGTCACAGTATGGACAAAACCTGTTAATTAACAGTAAAAGTATGTTTTCTAAGAAATCTGTAAAATTATAATCCTTTAATTTGTGAGAAACACTGCCTTTTAGTTTTCCTGGTTCAACTCGTTATTCTGACTGACAGTATTTTACCATAATAATAACAGTAACAAGTAAGATTAACGCAAATGTCTGTGAAATAAAGGCGATCATTTGTTATTGTTAAATTACATTTTATTTCCGTAAATTAATGAGTTTAAGTGCAAGTTCAAATGGTCTTCATTGTCATTTCTCAACACAACTTGCATTAGAGCCTAACATTATTTATACCCATGCCAAAGTTTGATTCATAGTAAATTTTTGTTTGACCAATATGTTTTTTCTGGCTAGAAAGGACATTACCAAATAACAAAAACAGTGAGACAATCTGATAGATATGTTAATTATAGATTTTAACTATTTATGTTTTTTTCTTACATTTTAACTAAAATGCCATGTCCAAAGTTATTTATACCCCTTTAAATTGCTGCAGATTTTTTGAGAAAATCAAGCTTCTATGTCATTTCAAATGGTTATGGTCATTTCTAGAGTATTCTAAAGCATTCTAATATTCTGATGTATTCTAATATTCTGTCTGATGTAGTAGTTCTCTAGTCAGTTACTAGTCAATTGCAAGTCATGGCTAAAACCAAAGAGCTTAGTGAAGACCCCCG